TGTTTTGGAGATTCAAGTATTCTCGCGGATGCCGGTGCTAAATAAACTTAAAAAAACAATGAAATTGAATTGGACACATTCATGTCCAGTGGCAGAGTAACTAAGAATTACTAATTAACTGGATGCTGCTTTTCTCCATCAGAAAAAAGGCAGATGGCGGGCTTGTCTGACTTTTTGACAGATGTTGCGAGAAGAGAGCTGGCACACCTGGATGCCAGCATCCCCTCATGCTGCGTCATCTACATCCCTCTGGTCATCTTTACTTGCTCATTTCAATAATTTTTTTATTCAGTGGCTGGGGTTGTCCTAGCAAATGCAGCATTAAAGGCTGAATACGCTGACATATTTCAAATCATACATGCCTCTGCCTCCAGATTGGGTTCCTCCTCTCTGTACCGCGGCTGCCTACCATGGTGGAGAAAGAAGACTTTGAGTTAGAGGGGCTTGAGTTCATGGTTGGTTTATTAACATTATTTAAGCCATGTTTCGGGATAGGTTCCCCCTCACCTGCAACCCAAATGAGAACAAATGCTTTAGAAGAAAATATCTTCAAAGAGATTCTTAACTCCTGTTTCAATGCCATGTTGGCTAAATAATGGCACCCAGAGGCATTGTTGGGTAGCAGAGGTCTGCCAGAACGTAGCTCAACTTTCGTAGCTGATTGAATGATCTTTTGACAGCAAAGGAAGGAGGATAGTGACAATCCTTTTGACTCAAATCCCCCAAGACACGATTAACTTAATCAACAGTTGTTAACTTAGGACAAACAGGACTCACAGGCAGACACAATGAACTCAGTACAAGTTTGCCGAAACAGCTGAGCGCTACTGTTTTGATTGTATGTTCACTCATGTATGTACTGCTTGTGTTCACGTGTGTGTGATGTATTCTAGTTTCTATCAGAGGATCGCCTGAACTACCGAAGCCGGAGGACCAAGGAGCTCGATGACCTCCTGGGAGATTTGCACTGTGACATTCGAGGTTGTTTACTCACAAATACAGAACCTTGCGAAAGATGCTCTGCTCATGGTAAACCACCTCTTTCCTCAGACATGGAGACAACAGTTATGACTCAGCTGCAGAACGCCATCCTACAGAGAAGCGCTGTCCTATATAAGGTTGCTATGCATCTCAGCAACACGTTTGAAACATGCCTCCCGCTTTAATATGTTGTGCGCTCACTGGCCACAGCATTAGGAACACCTGCCATTTCCATTGGAAAGAGATGGGCAGTGTCTGGAATATTGCTTCCGAGTTAGCTTCATATTCCTTTCCTTGTGATGGAGAGATGCACTCCACCATTGCAAAGTACCTACAGCCACAATAATAAAATTCCTAAAAACTGAATATCTCTCTGACAGTATAAAATAAAATGTATGTAATAATGGGCATTAATTATTGTGAAAATAGGTGCTAAATTGAAATTTATTCTAATGCCCTTGTTTTAAGTATGAAAACAGTTCCTTAACCCTGATTGTTCACATTGTGAAGGTTCTGGACCTGGCTGCTGAGCTTGACTGTCTAATGGCATTGAGTAAAGCTTCCCAGGAGTATGGCTACACCTCACCCAAGCTAATCACCCGCAAGGCAATATCGATCGATCAGGGCAGGTTCGCACATGTCACAGAAAATAAAAGATTTGAATGATTGCTGTGTGAAAAGATTGCAGGTATTTTACTCTTCAGACACCCGCTGTTGGAGGTGTGTTCTCCTGTGTTTGTGGCCAACTCGTTTGAGAGCCTTGAGTCACAAGGTAGAATCAAGATTATCACTGGGCCCAACTCATCTGGAAAGAGCATCTACCTAAAGCAGGTAAATCAGTCATTTTTAGTTCTGGATCCCTTTCTTTTTTGAGTTTAATTTTAGTTTAACTGCTGTAATGCAGTGTTCTGCTACAGAGCAATGCAGAATGTGTTTATGAGTGAATTCAACAACAGTGAGAATGTGGTAGCTTATAATGCTGTTTCTTCTGGATGATGGAGTGCACATTGGTAAATAACATTGTTCTTTGTTTTGTATTTTTTTTTCATGCAAAACAGAACGTACTGCGATAGCTGAGAACACTCAGCTTCTGCTTTGCCTCGATGCATTTTTTGTGAAGCAGTATTTTGTTCCTCTCTTTAGCATTTAGAAGCCTGTATTTGTGTATGTAACGTACCACAGCAGAAGTACTCATGTTAATGTAATATCGCTCACTGTCTCTCCCCTAGATTTAGGATTCACCAAGTCCAACAACTTCCTCACAACAAAGACATGATAAAGTGTGATTACAAATAACCTTGTTTCTCACATCATATCCAACCTTTGCAAATAGCGTTCATGTTATGAAGCCCCCTGCTCAACCTCATGATGTGGTGTTTAGACTACTGTTTTCCCCATTTGTTGACATGTCTTTACTAGGTCGGTCTGATTGTGTTCATGGCTCTCATCGGCTCTGATGTGCCAGCCAAGGGTGCGGAGATAGGCCTGGTGGACGCAATATTTACTTGCATGCCAGGCAGAGAGTCTGTTTCTGTGGGCCTCAGCACCTTTATGATTGACCTTAACCAGGTTGTTATGGATACACACACACTAATTCACTCTTTTAAATAAATTAACATTCAGTACAGCTGGATGACTGTCATCCAGCTGTACTGCACCCACTCTCCAACTGTCAAAATATTTCCACAGCCCACAAACACGCCCACACAATACAACAACAGATTCACAGTTTTATTTTTCATTTTTCAGATGTCGCAGACACTCAACAGCAGCACCGGCAACTCATTAGTCCTCATCGATGAGTTTGGAAAAGGGACAAACACCGTAAGGAGAACAGTAACACATTTGCCTACATGCACAGGGACACATCCTCATTAACATGAAACTCACGAAGCCAGCCGGCATGTATTATTCAATGCAGAACTCAACCCAAGATGTGTCACAGAGCAATTGCAACGTTAAACACCATTTGCACAATCTAATGAGATCCAATACAAGAGAGTAACCATAATTAGGACTTTTCACGGACAATAATGCTCAATTTTGATCATCACTCTCAGCAAAGTTTTCGTTTTTTTAAATATCTCTTATCCTCAAAGGGCACATTATTTTCTTGAATCGTGGCCTCCTGTCTGATAGTTGTCCTGTTCCAATTTATCGCTGAGTGCATCATGCGCTTGAATAAATAAACAGCAACCCAAATAGGAACAGTGGATTCATGCCACGTGGGACAAAGAATGAGAAAGAAAGCCACAACTATCTATAACTACTCTTGTTTCACGCCATAATGCAGTATAAAGTAATATACATTGTAATCGTACATAGTATATTTATTACAGTACAATGCATTGTAATTCAACAGATTTTTTTTTTAATTCAATCATTTCAGTATTTGCAGAAAATTATTGTACCAAATAAGTCATATTATTGAATACAAAAATCTGCATTTTTGGTGACTAAATTATAGTGTCAGCCCTAAAAACATCTTAATGCTAACAGATGCTTGATAATCTGCAGCTGAGCAAATAAATGGAACAAGTATATCATCTCAGTGATTAATTTATTCAAAGAAATCCCTAGAAAAAAAAGCCTCACACATTGTAACGTATTCGTTTACAAAATCTTCATGAGCTTATATTTGGTGTCCTAATAGCATTATGTGTACCTGCAATAAAATCCACAGGAGGCAGTTTTGGTGTGAAAGAGTGTGTTCTGCCTTAGAGGCAACACAAATGGGAGCGTTAACGCTTTATTGCTGGCAAGCGCTAAAACTTGCAGCTCTCCCTGTCTCCGAGGCAACATTTGCACCTGAATACTTGCAGATCAAAATGACTACAGACTTTTTATTGGCCATTTTAGCTATATCTACATGCACATTGAATGCTGTTGTTAAAGGCATGCCAGACTACAGTATTTGTAGAGAGTCATAGGTAAAGATAACGCTAAGTTGATGAATGGAGGGCTTTTCTCTTAGACACAAAAAAAAACAACAAAATTTTCTTCGGTTGGCTATCTCACTTCTCTTGTTTTTTTTGACAGTGCCATGTCAAGGACTCATGGCTTTGTGTGATAAATGTAACTTGACTTTAGTCTTCACTCCAATCTCACTCTTATAGGTGGATGGCTTGTCCTTGTTGGCTGCAACCATCTCCCATTGGCTGAAGAAAGCTCCAATAGACATTCCTCACATCCTGCTGGCCACTAACTTTCACAGTTTGCAGCAGCTGGGCTACTTACCCACTTCCACCATGCTGTCTCTTTTGGTACTGGCAGATGCTCTTACTGAAATATTTAAACAGCAGCCTGGAGCATCTGAGTGCAGGAGGAGGCTTGATGCTACCAAAATAATGTGCTGTAGAACGTCGGAAACAACTGAAGCGCCCATTTACTGAGTTCATTTCATAAGGGCATGATGTTTGTGTTTCAGACGCTTGAGACAGCAGTAGATGGGGATGAGCTGGTGTTTCTTCACCAATTGAAGGAGGGCATCTGCCAATCCAGTTACGCTGCCAATGTGGCGAGGCTGGCTGGTCTGCCTGCCAACGTTGTACAAAGAGGGATGGAAGTGTCTGAGCTCTACAGGACAGGAAGAGCCATCAAACGTGTTGACAGTGTGTCATCAGACGAGCAGGCCAACAGGTTTGCCAAATTCTTTGTTTAACCGGTATCATGGAGTCGGTAATAGACATCCAGGTGTGTGTGTGTGTTTGACAGATACAGGACTGTGGTGGAGAGATTTATGAGCCTGGACCTGGAGGATGACAATCTAGATGTGCAGCGCTTCATGAAAGAGGAGGTTCTGCCCTCTGCTGGACAGCTGCAGAATACCTGACCTGTCCTGCTGCATCCCCGAATAAGGTTCCAAATACTAGACAAGAATTCTGATATATTTTCATAGTTACCGTTCATTTTGTTTTATAAAATATTCGAAGTCGTTGTACTGAACGTTGAGCTCGAGTTTTTTTTTTCCACTGCATTTACTTGAGTCAGTGAAATTAGTTACTTTTATCAGCCATTATTTAGTTAAGACGTGAGGAATTTAGTCAATTGGATGTATTAGTCCCACTAGAGCATTTGATCTGGTCCACCATGCAATTCTATTAAAAGTAAAGCCAGAAGAGGAACTATTATTTTAAAAAAAAAAAAAAGGCCCCAAATTATTTAACCCACAAATGCTCATAATATATAATGCAAACTCTTTGTTTGGTTGTCAGATCACATTTTTTTCATCAATTTAGTTGGGCCCCTGATAGGCAAAGGTTTCCCAATGCTGCTTTATTTATATGAAGTGGTTCTAGATTAAATTAAGACAAATGTCTTAATTTAAAAAAAAAAACAATTCGATAGTTGATTTGTCATGTTCACCTTATGAATCAAATCCGTTCTTTTTTCCCTCCCGTATTGGCAGCACACACAGACTGAATAAACATTGGCTTCTCAGTGTGTCGGGGCCCCTGTAATGTGCCAGGATATCAGGAACAATACAGCGATGCACAAAATTGTGTCAGCTCTGGGTTGCAATGCAGCATTGCAGAAGGGGGTGTCGCAGCAGTGTTTGGTCATGACGAAGACGGTGCTGTTGAAGAAGAGCTCCACGGTGGTCTCCACGTTGCACTCTTCTGCTTTTACGCAGCCAAGTGTTTTTACATCCAGGACATCAACTGAGGGGGAAATAGATTTTAAACGTTCCGTTATTTGACAACATTACTACTGCAGACTTGTAGGACAACTACATGTCACTACTCAGTGAGGCAAAACTGTGCTCTAGTTGACAACTGACTGCTTCTAGTCACCTATTTTTAGTGACATTCCACTACCTACAATTATGGACCGTCACAAGTACTACTAGTAGCACACAGATGTCAACCGGTGCACAGTTTTGCCTCACTATATGCACAGTAGTTGTACCCCTACTATGCCAAAGTTATGTTACTAGTGTGCAGAAACGTCAAGCAGTAGTCGAAGGCAGAAAAAAAACGTTACTCGTGAGAAACAGTTGTTGTACCCCTCGACTGAATTGTCTTACTAGTGAGAACAAAGATTGTAGTCATGCATGGACCTTAAGCTTAATGTCAAGGTTGTCGAAGAAATGGCTTTCCATACAAGACACCTACGCAACGCACCAGCCTTCCCGCGGCCCGTGAAGCATCGGTCCCCGAGGCTGCAGTTGGTTTCCGTTGTGTAGCATGCGTCCCAGAAGCCCAGATCACAGCGGAAACACTGCAGTAGTTCCTCCTGCGCCTCAAGCCCCGCCGCCTCCATCATCTGCTCCAGCTGCTCTTCTTCCTCACCTGAGCCCACACAGGTACCGTTGATTCACTCTCACATACTGCGGCCACCACAGCATGGACACTTACAGAACACTTTGTTTGGCACTCTGCTGTAATGAGATCCAGTCAGAGAGATGGACAAAACACTTTTGGGTCCACATTGCGAAAACTAAAATCTACCCGTGGTTAAATATCTAAAATCATGGCAAAATATTGGTACTTGTCTGCCAAAATATTTCTTCTTACCAGGCAGTATGTTATTGACATGGAGATTTCCATCTTGAATTTCAAAAGGTTTCATAAAAAAATATGATAATCAGAATTCAGGAATTATAACCAGTTTGCGCAACACAGTATTAATGTGTAAATACATTCTTTAAGCACAGATCTTGTAGGCAATCTAATTACATTATGCTATTGTGTCCCTCATGTACTTTATGTAATATAATACATTAGGCGTGTTCATGTCTACAATGAAAGACTATTTGATTCATACAGTATCTCAATACATGGGGTATGATACGAATCAATGGTTCGACGTTTTATTTTAAAGTCGAACGATTTGGTTTATTTCAGTGGAATTACAAATTGATTCAATATGGGGCGGCTGAGTTTAAGAGGGTAAAATGCAGCTAATTTTTTGTTGTCGTTTACCATGAATGAGCTTGCATGACCTTAGACTACTGGCATTTCCTTCAAAGATATCTCTCCAATAAAACACGACTATCTTGATATATTATAAAGTGAAACGATTCGGTTTGATTTGATATGCTCGCATCTTTTCAATCTGGTGAGATTTTCTGATTCAAGTCTTTTTTTTTTTTTTTTTGGGTACCCCAGATAATACGTCTTAAATTTTAGGCATGTAGCACATTTAAAAATATATCGTCAAAGCAACACACATAGTTAGCAACATACATGAAAAAAAAATCACACATTTTGAAGATTTGAATTGTCTTATACAAGACTTAAAATAAAACTGTTTAGCATGGTGTGTAGTACTCATTTAAATCCCGTTATAAACAACATTGAGAGTTACAAGGCCTTGAGTCATTCTAGTGTTCGACATCGAGCCAAAATGATGAGCTTCATTTTGGTCTTCATCATTTCAGAGATATTTTGTTTATTCTCAAGCAGTCTGGAAATTGTTTAGGTGATTTGTGTTGCTTGGGGATGGCTTTGGGAGTCGTGGTAGCAGCCTGTTTTAATAACCAGACAGCCTGCTGGCACAAAACAGAAAGCTGGCATCATGAAACAAGCCCTTAGCCCTCCAGGAATGCACAAGATAACTGATTACTGTCATGAATTGGCTTCAAAGGTCCCAGGCTACTTACCTTGTAATTAGTTATTTATTGGCACTATGTGTGTGTTTGAGACAAAGCAGCAGTTTAGCAACAATATGTTTTTTTTCCCCTGCAATTGAAATGTATTTTCTCCATAGCTTTTTTTACTCGTGGATAGAGAGTACAAGGCATTTATTATTGAGGAAGCCTTTATTTATACAGATGCGATATACAAACCCCAATTCCAGTAAAATTGGGACATTGTGTAAACCGTAAATAAAAACAGAACATAACAATTTGCAAATCAAATTATTTTTGTAATCGAGCCACTCCTGGTCTTCGTTTTTGGGATCTGCTCCTGTCCCGGATCGGACCGGAACCCATCCATCCATCCATCCATTTTCAACACCGCCTATCCTGAACAGGGTCACAGGGAGTTGCTGGAGCCTATTCCAGCTGACTTCGGGCGTAAGGCAGACTACATCCTGAATTGGTCGCCAGTCACTCGCAGAACACATACGACCGCTCATACCCACATCCACACTGTCCCTGAGTGGGAACCGATCCCACATTGCTCGCACACAAGTCCGTCAAGTGTACCATAACATCAGCGACTCTGGTTCGGAAACCATCACAAAAAATTCTTTTGTAATAGTGACAGAATAACTATTGCCCTTATTCCAATTGAGTGTTGCTGTTTTCTTTTATTTTTCAAATATCTTTGTTTTAAAACGCCTTTTTAAAATAACAGTGGAGAGTGCACGTTTCAATACGGCTCGGTCAATGATTCTGTGTGTGAGATTACGTTGCCGGAGAAAGCCTTAGAGCCCATTTGTTGGCTGCTTGAGCTTGTGAGATGCTTGCTGTGAACCACTCATCCATCCTTAACTCATTAGCCGGAGTCAGCTCTGACCCCATCTTAGCAGAAAACAATAACACACTCATTGTCTAGCATTTTACCCTTCAAAACTCAACATTTTAACAGACACTTCAGCTGTTACGTAATACAACTCGAGAAGGATCTAACTCTTTGGTACACTAAATATTGCACTTAGCTGGAGTAATTAACGGATGGATACATTTGAAAATCAACATTTGACACCCCCCATTTTCTGTAGGAGACCTCCACCTAAAAAAATATTTAATGAAGAATACATAATATGCAGTGAATACATAGACTGCAGTATGTGGTGAAAGAAATTAAGTGTATAAAATAAGCTTTAAACGATATTTTTTTCTTCTGTACGTAAACCTGAATCAAAGTAGCCTTGCATTCTGATTAAACCCAAATGTGAATTTATTAGCATTAGACTGGTTCCACCAAATACGTTCTGTAACAACTACAGTTGAGTGACTGAGGCCTGGTGATGACTCGTTTCCAGATGTTGCCTTACCTTGAGCATACATGAGCATCATGACTGCCAAAACCTGCAACATTAGTCCTCTCATTGTCAGCGGGATACGTTTCCTTTTGTTTCCACAGCGAGGGCTGCAAAGTTGACCGCAGGGTTTCAAATTGGATTAGTCAGTGATGCCTCCGCTTTCTGATCAGCACTAATGAGACTCTGTGTACCTGAAAAACAACAACTTATCCAACAAGTAACTATTTGACCAGTAGGATAATATTGTGTTGACTTAATTATCATCATTTCCATCTGGTTTATTAGCATTTTCAACATGCGTGACACAGAAGAAACAGCACGTTTACAGCTGTAAGCTCTCGGTGAGGAGGAGGATGATGGCAAAGTATGTCCCTCATTATACCAAATTGTTCTGTTGCAGGCGAAGTTCAATGAACATTTTCAGGCTGTTTGCTTCTCACTATCACACGCTCTTTTTAAAAAAAAAAAATTTTACCACGGCTTGTGTGTCTGTTTCAGAGCAGCAAAACTGCATGTGTCCTGAGTCAGCGCTCAGTTAAGAAGCTTACATCCTACTGTCCGTCTGCTTAGGTTCACATGAACGCGCACACACACTCTGACACACACACTGGGAGGTGCGGGTTTGATTCAGTTATATTCACACTGCAGCATGAAAACAGCATTTTTGGGGATTATATAACCGGTGGGCATACACGTACGTAGAAGACTTCAGAGCATTTTTTTTTTTTTTTTTTTTTTGCTCACCTGATAGTGTTGTGGCAGTAACCGATCCTGAAATAGTCCAGGCAGTCAATTTTATGATGACTGCCCTTAAATTCGTTATGAAGCATTTATATGGAGATATAAGGATGATGAATCTGCTTGGAAACACTTGATGACACATTGTGTGGTGAGCCTGTGCTGGAAAAAAGTAATGTGCGATGAATTTGTTGTTGTTGAGAGGAATTCGCAGAACCATATCTTTACGTGCAGATTGGTATCCGCAGTATCTTGCCAAATTCATTTCATAATTTCCAACTAAACATTAGTGAGCAGACCTGTCACCAAGTGTGTGTGTGTGTGTGTGTGTGTGTGCGTGTGCGTGTGCGTGTGCGTGTGCGTGCGGGGCATGTTTCTGAGCAACTCGTGCGAAGGAGGCTGGCAGCTTGCTGCAAGATGCAGTCGCACCTTCGCCAACCTCACGCTGCCGCAGAATCATAGCATATCTCAGCACAGCCTGCCCACACAAAAGCAAATGACTCGTCCACTTCAGTAGCGAGAAAACATTCAGTGAGCCTAAAGCGACTATTAAAGCCCATCCCTCGCACAGCAAGCAGAGGAAGCATAAAGCTGTTCACCTGTTGGATTTTTTTAAATAAAGCATAGGATTGAGATGATAGAGAGATGAAAAGGTCAGGATGGTGGGAGAACCAAGCGTTCCTCACTTCTGCTGCGTCAGGGAAAACTCGTTAGCCTCATTGGAATTTTCCCCTATTTTAAATGCCATCCCTCTTTTCCATCCAAGCTGTAATTGAAATTCTTTAACACCTCGTCTGACCACACTGAAGGGGAAAAAAGAGAAAGCTAAGCAATGGACATTCTGAATTTAAACAAGAACGCAGAGTCCCGGCTGGTATTTATAGCCTGGCTGTAGGTGTGGAGTGAGAGGAGTGTAGCCTTAACGTACCGTCTCTAGTTTGGACCAAGAAACCGTTTCCTCGGATAATGACTATAGATTATAGTACGCATGAGATGAGATGCAGACTCATTTGGCATCAAATCTGCCTCTTAAACAGAACCCTCTCCTAAAATGGTCTAAATGGAAGAAGCTTTATGGAGTTTGGCTTGTTTAAAGAACAAAATAAAGCTTGGGTCAGCAAGACAAAAAAACTCTTTTGCCAAAAGTCAGTCTTTAGTTTCTTTATACTGCCTGTAAAAAACACATTTTTTTTCTATTTTTGCTCTGTAAAAATGACACTTAAATAGAATAGGGGTGATGAACCGGTTCCTTCAGGTTTCTGACTTTGGATGTTTTTTTAGGAACCATAACCATGGGCCCTAAAATTCATGTGAAAGTAAACTTTTTTTTTAATGCCTTTTGCTACATAAACAGCACTGATGCAAAATGAGGGGAACAAAGTACAGCAATCTCAAAACCTCAACAGGCAGTACACCTGACACCAAATTCTCTCAGTTCTGCATCTTGGTGTGTTGAAAGCAATTGTAAACGTATTTTACACGACACCGGCACTGATCATGTTACATATCTATGGTAATTATCTGTGGAACTCCATTCTTGATGTGTGAAATCCGACAGTTACAGTCGGTAACTCCCGTCATCATCGGGTTCCGTGTGAAAGCACAAACAGATAAACGCTTCTCCCGTTACTCTTCTGATTCAGAAATTTTTTGTGAGGGAACTCTGTGTAAAAGAATTCTTTAAGGCTGCGTTGCGGAAAACCGTGAAGTTCAAAATTTCTGATGATGTAAATGGTCAGTTCAAAGTTGATATAAACCTATAGTTATGTGAATTTATTGGCAGTAAAGCATTTGACACAACTTGTTCCGCACGGAAAGTGGTGTGAAGATAAACGGTTCCAGGTTCACTGCGTGAATGGAAAAACAACTCAACAAGGCCGCATGTCAAAGTGAAATGGTTTGTTTTTGGAATACCCACTAACTTAAAAATACTTCTACTAGCAGACAACACACGTACGGAGGTCGCCAGACGTGTTTTTTGGTTTACTTTCGTCTGAAAAGCTCTAGGAACCGACCTCGCGGGTTCCATGTGGGATCTGTCCGACTTCCCAGCGATCTGGAAGGCAGCATTAGCAACTGCACCCCTCCGAGGCCTTGAAACATTTACAAGACAAACATCTGTTCGTGGAAGATAGTGTTTAGTACGTCCAATTCTGCTGACCCCATGAAAATAATCAGGGCTCAAGGAGTGCGGGACAGTTCCATGTGTGAAAGTTAATCTCAGTGGAGTTGTTTGGGAAGGCGGAGGAGTGAGGAACGGATGGCCCGGGGGAGGACGAGTGTGGACTTGGCTCCTGGTGGTGCAGAATTTCAGCCAGAAGTGTTGACTCCACCTCCCTCTCAGCACCGTCTTCGGAATCCAAATGATGCAGCGGTGATCTGTCGATGTCCTCAATGTTTTGGCAAGCCAAAGAAAGAGAAGTAGGGTTCCAGTCCTGGTTGGAGAGAGGGAGGCTAAAGCACCCCTCCTCCCCATCTCTGATCTCCCATTGTTCCTGACTACTGAAACTGGCTTGTTCTTCTTGTGAGTCCTCCCAGCCAAGGTCTCCCTTCAGGTCCTCGAGGTCATCACACATCTCCAGCCTGTGGACCTCCCGATCCCGATTCTCGTAGAGTAGGGTTGCGGCACAGATGAAGATGAACAGGCCGACGCCCATGACCACCGGTCCGGCCAGTTTCATCCTGTCCACGTGGCTGGACCCGCGACCGCCCGTGGGCCTCGGCACCGCCGACACGTACCCGGCCACGGCCACGCTCATCCCCGCCAACACCACCACCACGCCTACCATAAGCCACGCGCCCGGGGCCGAGCGCAAACGCAGGTGTAGTTGGGTCTGGGTGGCGTCGCCTTTTCTCAGGTGACATGCTGGGAGGCAGGCTGCTGGTGATGAGTGGGAAGTGAAGGGGCTGCTGACAGGACTGCTGGCAGCTGTCATCCTTTTGATCCAAACTGCAAGACAAAGTGTGCAGCTTTAGGAAGAAGGCGGGGGCACTGTGGGTTTTGGAGAGGACACAACAGGAAATAGCTGCTTTAATAGGACATGTGCTGACTTAATGAGATGCTTGTCCTCTGTGGAGTAGCAACAGGATCCCTTACCTCAGAGTGGAACATTAAAACTATCATGGATGACTACATTAGAAGGGGGAACCCCCCCCCCCCCAAAAAAAAATCACTTTACAGAATATCTTGATTGCCCAATAACCTGCTCTTTAACGCCTTTGGAGCCACACTGAGGACTAGTTTACAGAAAAAAAAAAGTACTGATTTAATCAACATTTTTTTCAGAAGAAGAAGCAACTTTCCCGTTAGGGTTTACCACAGTATGTCTCACCTAAGATATGTTTGGGGCTGTTTTTACATCAGATTACATTGCTTGACACAACCCACCCATTTTCGCTCTCCGCCTTTTGAACCCCATTCCTTGTTTCTCAAGTTGTATCAGCATTACTCACTGAGCCATTCAGTCACCAGCAGGTTCTAAGAATGTCACATTACGTCTACTTCAAAGTCAGTGCACTGACAAAAACCCTTCTAGGCCCTGATGATGATTTTGTACCCTGCTTACTGCCCGAAGTCAACTGCGATCGGCTCCAGCACGCCCGCGACCCTCATGAGGATAAGCGACTCGGATAATGGATGGATGGATGAAATTAGTGCCTGTTCATTTACTGCATCTAAGACAGTAATGCATAGTGGCAGGCAAAACAATTCAGAGCACTCTCTTCCACTCAATGAGAGAAGGCATATAATTAAAATGTGGATCCACTTTGGTTGCCATTTGGTGGCGTACCATGGAGTCTTTCTAATGTAAAATACGTGCCTTAAATATCAATAATGGTTGGGATCATCGAAATAAAGACGCCTGCCATAGAATAAATGAACATCCATTTGCTGAAACAGAGTACATTGTCTTTCCATTGCTGCCATGTTCTGGTCAGAACACCCACTACTTTTTGCAGAAAAACAGGCTGGTCACAATGTCGCAAACAAACAAGTTTCCCTCATTTTAGTTTACAATTCATATTCCTCATTGGCATTTCTAATAAGTAAGTACATCGGTTTTCCTGGTCGTGGGAAGTGCGCATTACCATTTTTCCCCTCTCATTGGACATGATTTGACCCCTTTCAGTGGCAGTCACTTTACCGCAGTCATTCCCAAGTCATCATTTAGCCCCAAGCAGCAGAACATTTAAAGTGTGGAGGAGGAGGGGGGTGATGCGTGCGCTTCAAGGGCACGAAGTGTGAACGTGATGTAGCAGTCTTGCGCTGTTGCTGGCTGCACTGCAGTTGTTCGCAAAAAAAAAAAACAAGAAAAATTTGCTGACTTGCCTTGTTTTGCTCCTCAGTCCGAATCATGGTCCCCACTCAACAAGCATCAGTTGCCTTCTGCACTTCTCCACTCTATCATCCGCCTTTGGCTTTTCATGCTCAGATAGACTTTTCCCCTTCTTTCCGATTCCTTGCTTCTTGCCGCGCTCCACACTACTGTTCAGCTGAAGCTCCTCTTTTTTTTTTTAATTCTAGGAAGTAACTGTTGTTATAAAAGTGGTGCAAAGCTGCTCTGCCTCTCCTCGATCTGTGTGCCTTTGAGCGCGTGTGTATGTGTGTGTGTGTGGAGGAGGGGTCGTGGGAATCAGGGGCAGTCCCACGGTGAGTCGTGTTATTCTTGGTGGTTGACATGTTCGCACTGATGTAAAAATATGGACTTTGATTGAAAAAATAAAAAAGACCTTAGCATAGCTAAGCTTGTGAGTCCTCGTAGTGTACACACAGCCAAATATTGATGCACACAAGATCTTACATCATTGCCAAAGCACATATTTTCCATTAGAAAATTCTGAAGGCACACAATCAAACAAAAATGTTCCAAACAGCGTATATTTGAATTGTGATTTTCTGATCTCACTTTATTCCCAAAGTATTTTGTCTCAAATGTGGGCCTCTTTCGTTGAACATAAAGGCATTATTTCTGTCGTATGAATGGCAGCTCGTGGGTACGTTGCAGGTTAAATATACATTCTGCTGGCGAGCATGTCACTATACATCACTGGGATAGACGGATGCACAAGTAGACATTATTTGTAAATGTAATAAATTGAGTAAAATAATATTCAATTAATTGAAATTGGATAATTTCCTGCAAAACGTATTATGTCTCATTGGATTCCCAGTGAGCCATCATAGCGAAATTTTTAGTTGAGCCACAACGTTCATAGGGAGACACTGATGTTTTGTTTCTTAGCTTTCATGAGTTCAATGTCATTCTTTTCTTCTAAAATGAAGTCAAAATTCATTCTGAGGCCGTGTTAGGGAGTGGGAAAGTGACAAGGTCTGTTTCATGAGAGGGTTCAAGTCATGACCTGGCACGTTGAAGCAGGCGTCATAGCCTAGCAGAGCAAGTGCTGAAGATCCACTGCCAACACTGCACTAAAGTGTCTCTGCAGGTTGTTGGCAAAAGATCCCCTCTGCTAATAACAAGACACTGCAGTAGCCCTCAAAACCACCGACAGACACATCATCACTGGATTTTATTAAGACTTGAATATGTATATGCAGCCATTTGTTGTCTATTTTCAGAAACTATACTTTGCTAAATAAACACATGATTCAGATGACAAAATGCCTAATACAATCCAGTATTTTTTGGATGCGCCACTGTGACAGAGAGTGTCCCAACATAGCCCTGCATGGCTGCATTTTTTTGTGTATTTTGTCATGTAGCGCGATGCTAGAGGACCCAAAAAAAAGCAGGGAGGCAGAAGAAGCAGGGTGTATTAACAAAAACACTTACAGGGGGACACTGGAAAAACTAAATCCACACAAAGTCCTGAAAACCCCAAGAAACCAAAGTCACAAACAAAAACCCATGACAGAAGCACAACGATCCGCTCCGAGTGGTGGGTGTGGCAGTCCTTTTAACAGAAAAAAACTAATGACATGATGACCAACAGGTGCAATGCTGGAGGAGAAGCCCTCCAAGGCCACCTGTTGGTGAAAAACGGAACAGGACCATGAAAGTACTACCCCATCCCACCCTCCAACGGACGGGTCCCAGCACTGGAATTCCTGTAACCAAGAATATAGACTTCATGAGCTGTAAATATTAACATCGATATGACACGCCCCTTTTGAGCTGCATAACTAAGGAGACACTACGCGAGTCGGGTCAAAAATGTGAGAACATTCCATATATGTGCAAGGGCAAGGAAACAAAAATTTTGGTGGCGGGGGCATTTTTGTGTTTTGTGTTCTGTGTTGATAGCACACGTTTCAGTACTGACAAAATGTAAACCTCATGAAAATCCGTTGAAAAATGAGCAAATTACGACTAAATTTCAATGTCCATGAAGAGAACAACGCCCCTGCCAACATGGCCGCCACGCAGGCGCGTATGTTACTCTTCTGACTCTATTCTTCGTGGTGTTCGTTGCGTAACCAGTAGGGGTCAGCAATGAACTAAAACGTACCCTGTCTGCCGAAAATACCCTATGAGTAAATGCGCGCCTGCGCGCTATTGTTTTGAAACCAGCATGGCGCCATTTTAGTTGTTGTAGTAACGTCTACCTCTGTCTATATGCTTCCGTCGTAGAAAAAAAAAAATCACAGAGAAAAAATAAGCCCATCCGTCTACTTGAGGTTATTTGTATGGCCTGACGATAAAACGTATGTGCTGATTCCCAGGCCGTCCTTTTAACACGAGATAACTGGTAGCTAGCTTGTTAATGTTTCTAACTAAGAGTGGCTCCAAGAAATGGAGGAAGCAGCCAATCAATATAACGTAAGTGAGTTAACGTATAGAGTATATGTCAGACTCGTGTGTTCCTTGCTTTAACCCCCGAAAAGAAAAAGTATGTAATAATATAACGTACAATACATGTCTGTCTGTCTGCAGAGGAGACCAAAGAGGAGGCTCTGCTATAAGACCACCATGCAGAGGTATGTTTGGTAGTTTATACAATTTACGCATGTTTTTAAATGCTTTCAACTCAATGTGCTAAATTTGCTGCTCAGCGCACTGAAAGATAAATGGAAAGGCAGCCTGTCCATGGGAGACGTAGACAGGATGTTTGATGACCCGGGTAAGTTTTCTCAATATGTTTGTTTTTTAGTTCACATATTGCTTGTCGTGTGCCATATTTGTATTCTTCGCCATCATTCTTCCATTCTGTTCAATTAATCTACCATGCATGTTTTTGGAATGTGGGAGGAAACCGGGATACCCAGAGAAAAACCAATATTAGCAACATTTAGATCGGTCCACCTATCACTATTTACCATTGATATTTGTGCATACATTTGTTCTGCACAGACTCTCCCATTGACGCACTCCCGTCACTTCTCCAACTCTCGGACTCGGATAGTGAGGAAATCCAGGCTGTGGGACGTGCTACATCACTAGATGTAACGGCAAAATCTGCAAAGGTACAAGTAAAACATGCAGGATCTCGTCTGTGAAGGATTTGAGTTTTGGAGTGTCACAGGGATAGTTCCGCTGCTGACAAAAGAAAATTGGCAACGAGTTGCTGCACAAATGCTCGTCTGCTCACTCGCTATTAGAGGTAGTTGGGGGGGGCAGCTGCTGATAGTTGCTGCACAAATGCTCGTCTGCTCACTAGCTATTAGAGGTAGTTGGGGGGGATTTTCAGGTCGTATCGCCCAGGCCAACATTAAACTAAACATGTTTCCTTTTGAATCTTTAGTCTGCCAAAGAAGACCCATTACATCCTGTGACATGTACGCCTGTACTAAGTCCTGTCCTAAATATCGGTAAGAGATGTGCACACTTCTGAAGCATACTCGGCATTTTGTTTCACAATGCAACTTTGTTTCAGACCATTCAAACGTTCCTTTCCAAGAACCTGTGAAGATTTCCAGCTTAGTAGAGGTGAGCAGGGGTGACAATTCGGCACAGACAAAGACCAACAACAAAGGCAAGATGCTGTCACCGATCGTCTCTGACTGTGAAGAAAAGAAAGATGCGGCAACGATTAAGCCAGCCACTGATAAGTAAGAACCGATTCTTCCTGCCACATCATTTTATGTAGCCTGTGAACTCAAATCATGTGCCTCTACTTCCATGATTCTTGCTGAAATCAGTAGGCCTACCAACATTAAAGTTGTCATATTTAGTAAATAATAACATTTAACTATTGCAGGCACTTTTTTGATACAAAACCTCTTTTTACAGTAAATTGAACAATAGTTGAACAAACTATTACCCTTGATTTCTCATTTCAAAATAAGTTATTTCATTTCTGATTGTTTCTCTGATCAACTACTCCCGCCTTTGCTAAGAAAATTAATTCTGATTGGATCTTGTGTCTGGCAGATATTTACATCTCGTTTTTAATTGTTGCCAAAAATGTCAACATTTCGTCCCTGCAAATACATTTTAATGTAGTTGTCAGAAAAAAAGGTTGTTGAGTTTTAAGTGGAGTGGGCTAGTGAGTGACATCATGGGTGGTTAGTCTGTCAGCATCAGGAGAAGAGTTTGGGTCTCTCGTGTAGCAAGCAGCGAGCTACACTCAAGGTGGGTGCTAGTGCTGCAAAGTTGTTTATCTGAGTTGGATATTTTTTGTTGTTATTAGCAAGTCAGCACAACAGGAGCCAAGTGTGACCACTGCTGAGAAGGACCACGAGAGCGTTCCCAGAAATTCCTCCATGAAAACCCCAATTTGGGCATTCCTGCAAAAGGTTCGAGACTCCAACCAGTCCAAAACCAAAGTGTGAGTTGAACTGACCTTTCCCATTGGAAAATAATATAAATCTCATTGCATTTTAATAATTTTTTTTAAGGTTTAACATCAAGTAACAATGTCTACAGTATGAAAAATATTAATGTGGAAAGTGAAGACAGTGCTTCGTTTCTGATAATCTTGGCTAGCTTTGCTGTTGTCGCGGATCAAAGCGTCTTTGATCTGTGAAGTTGGTTGCGTCGGCGCTGATTGGTTGAAACCAAAAGACGCCTGCGTGCGTACATGTTCACGCTGATGCACGCACAGCAGAGAGCAGCGGACTAT